TCTTTACCCGTTTATTCCATTTTGGGTCACGGGGGTCGCCGGTGCCCATGTCCAGCAATCACTGTGCGAGGGGCGGGGTACACCCTGGACAGGTCGCAAGTCCATCACAGGGCCACACAGAGACAAACAACCATTCACTCTCTCACTCACACCTAGGGACAATTTAGAGTTACCAATCAGCCTAACATGCATGTTTTTGGACTGTGGGAGGAAACCGGAGCACCCGGAGAAAACCCACGCATGCACGGAGAGAACATGCAAACTCCACCCAGAAAGGCCCCTGGACCGGGGTTTGAACCAAGGACCTGCTCGCTGAGAGGCAGCAGCTCTACCAGTTGTGCCACCGTGCTGCCACATAACCATTCATTAAAGACAAATGAAGTAGATCCAAAATGTGGACATTAATTAGGGGAAATACCTCTTTAAACAGTCTGGCTGGGATGGGATCTAGCAGACATGTGGATGGTTTGGATGAGGTTATTCCATCCATCCATCCATCCATTTTCTTTACCCGTTTATTCCATTTTGGGTCACGGGGGTCGCTGGTGCCCATGTCCAGCAATCACTGTGCGAGGGGCGGGGTACACCCTGGACGGGTCGCAAGTCCATCACAGGGCCACATAGAGACAAACGAGACAAACAAACATTCACTCTCTCACTCACACCTAGGGACAATTTAGAGTTACCAATCAGCCTAACATGCATGTTTTTGGACTGTGGGAGGAAACCGGAGTACCCGGAGAAAACCCACGCATGCACGGAGAGAACATGCAAACTCCACCCAGAAAGGCCCCTGGACCGGGGTTTGAACCAAGGACCTGCTCGCTGAGAGGCAGCAGCTCTACCAGTTGCGCCACCGTGCTGCCCTGGATGAGGTTATTATTTTTGACAATTCAGAGCTCAACAGGACAAAATCTGTCCAAACATAAATCAGGCTCTAGTGAAATTTTTAAAGTCGTCTCGTTTGACGGGACTAGAGATAGTAGAAGGAAGGATGGTTTGAATTTTCTCTCTAATTGAAATAATTTTATTTATAAAGAATCTCATGAAGTCCTCACTACTTATAGTTGTAGGGACACATGGTTCAACAGAAATGGAACTTTTAATTAGTCTAGCAATAGTACTAAACAGAAACCTAGGGTTATTTTTATTCTCCTCTATTAAAGATGAGTAATATAAAGTTCTAGCTTTATGGAGAGCTTTTTTATATGTTAGCAGACTATCTTTCCAAGTTAAATAAAATTATTCAACATTAGTAGAGCGTCATTTTCTCTCCTGGTTTCTAGATGCCTGCTTTAAAGTACGTAACTCAGAATTGAACCAAGGAGCCAGTTTCCTCTGATTGATTACTTTCTTTTTCAGTGGAGCAATTTTATCAAGTAAAGTTTGCATTGAAGTTGTAAGATGATCAACTAGATGATCTAAGTCACTGTTCTCTGATGCATTACTCTGCAAGACAGAGGAAAACATTGATGGAAGAGATCGTTTAAATTTGGTTACAGCATTTTCTGATAAGCACCTGCTGAGATGAAATTTACTCTCAGTGACTGTGTCGTCATTTAATGTAAACTCAAAGGTTATTAAAAAATGGTCGGACAGAATAGGATTTTGAGGAACTATTACCAAGTCCTTAATCTCTACACCATAGGTCAGAACTAAATCAAGAGTGTGATGATAAGAATGAGTAGATGTGCGGACGTTTTGGGTAAAACCAAACGAGTCTATTAAATTATTAAAGGCTATGCTTAAGCTATCACTTTCAACATCTACATGAATATTGAAATCACCCATTATGATGATTTTATCAGTATTTAATAGTAAGTCAGTTAATAATCCTGAGAATTCAGACAAAAATTGAGAGTAAGCGTCTGGTGGACAATATAGAACAACTAGTAAAAGTGGCTTTTCTAATTTCCATTTTGGATGAGAAAGAGTGAGGGACAGTGATTCAAAAGCATAATAATTAATAACTGGTTTGGCATTAATCAATAATCCTGACTGAAAAATAGAAGCTACTCCTCCACCTCAGCCAGTTGTTCTAGGAACATGAAAATTTAAATAATTAACAGGACTGGATTCATTTATACTAACAAAATCCTCCTGTTGTAACCAAGTTTCTGTCAGACAGAATAAATCAATATGATGATCAGTTATCAGTTCATTAACTAACAGGGATTTAGAGGAAAGAGATCTGATGTTCAATAATCCACATTTTATGATTTTATGATTTTGCTCTGGTAAAGTAACTGTGTTTATTTTAATAAGATGACTAAAAAGACCATTATGAAACAATCAACTTCTCTTTGCATGTCACAAAATAACCAGAATAAACTACATTAAATCTACGTAAAAGTGAGGAATGTTGTGAATGAAATTTAGGGGAAACCACTCGGGTGATAATCAGGCAGTGGTTGTATCCAAACATCTCACTCCTGTTTGTTCGTGCAGCTGTGATCCAGCTAATGGCAGCAGCAAGGGCAAGGAGGGGTTTGGCATTCTTCACATTTGGAGATGAAGAACTGAGGAGAGGACTGCAGCAGATCTACGGGCTGCTAGTCACAGAGGAGACAACAATTGGTAAGCCTTTTTAAAGTGTTTCTCAAGTTTCTCCTGTTTTACTTTCCCTGATACTTAAAGAAAATTAGTTGAAAGCTATACGTATACTTGATATTGAGTAAATATGAGATGACCAAGTTATAACTTTTACATATAAATCCACATCACAATGACCAACTTTATATTATGTTATACCATAAAATCCAATGAATATTATAAATGTTTTGTGTCCTCTTTCTTGAGTTGTTTTCTGATGCTTTATGTTTATTGAAATGTTTCAAACCATTAAAAGAAAAGCAAGATTTCCTGTCATCATCTAGGCATTTAGTCATTTTTTGTTGATTCTAGATGGCTTCAGCCACATCCCAGCATTCAAAATAAGTGTTTTATATCCCAACTAAGCTATACAACTTCAACTTTAGGCTGAAACAGTAAAATAGTCTGATCCAGAACTGAATCATCTACAAAATGTTTTGTTCTGGGGTTGGTTTTTTGGAGGGGGGGGGATCTCAATAAAAATTTACATCAACTGTTTCTCCCCTCTGCAGAATTATGATCTTAACTTGGTGGAGGGGTTTGCGTACCCCTGTGGTCCTGGGGGCTACGTTGTCAGGTGCATCAACCCATGGTAGAGTCACTCATGGCAAACAGGCCTCAGGGGAGGGGTCAGACTAAAATTGATTCACTCTCAAAATGCTGGACTCTCTCCTACTCTGGAGTTGTCCAGAGGGTGACGTTTTGGGCAGGTGTGGCACCCAGCTGAATGCCTCTGTGTTGTTTTCCCCGATGAACGAGAGGGTTGCCTCTCTGTGGCTTCAGGCTGCACGATGGAAGGTTTTGACTGTTGTTTGTATTTATACACCAAGCAACAGTTTAGATTACCCAGCCTTTCTGGATTCTCTGGATGTTGTCTTGGAAGGCATGTCATCTGGGAATTCCCTTGTTCTACTAGGTGACTTCAATGCAAATGTAGGCAATGTCAGATTTATCTGGAAGGGGGTGACTGGGAGGAACGGCCTCCCTGATCTGAACCTGAATGGTGTTTGCTTATTGGACATCTGAGCTAGGTATGGGTTGTCCATAACAGACAACATGTTTGAGCATAGGGTAGTTCATAAGTGTACTTGGTACCAGGCCACCTTAGGCCAAAGGTCAATGATCAATTTCGTAATCATGCCATCTGACCTGCAGCCCTATGTCTTGGACACTCGAGTGAAGAGAGAGGCAGAGCTGTCAACTGATCACCACCTGGTGGTGAGTTGAATCTAGTGGTGGGGGAGGCTGCAAGACAGACCTGGTAAATCCAAATGCATAGGGAGGGTGAACTGGGAACATCTGGTGGAGCCCTCGGTCCATGCGGCTCTCAACTCACCACTCTGGAAGAGTTGTCCACATGTCCCAGGGGAGGTCAGAGACATGGAATCCGAATGGGTCATGTTCAGGGCCTCTATTGCAGATGCAGCTTCAAAGGTTGCAGAAGCAAAGACTCGGGTATGGGAGGAATTCAGGGAGGCCATAGAGAAGGACTTTTGTTGTCCTTATGGAAGTTCTGGCAAACTGTTTAGCGACTCAGGAAAGGAAAGTGGACCCTGTCCTGGTCTTCACTTTATTTGGGTGGGGAGCTGCTGTCCTGAACTGAGGATATTGTTGAGCGGTGGAAGAGGCACTTCGAGGATTTCCTTAATCCACCCACCATGTCCACCATTAAGGAGACAGAGTCTGAGGACTTGGGGAAAGACAAGTCCATTACCATGGCAGAGGTCACCAAGGTAGTCAAAAACTCCTTGGTAACAGGGTGCCAGTGCTGGATGAGATTTGCCCCAAGATACTGAAGTCTCTGGATGTTGTGGGGCTGTCATGAGTGACACATCTCTTCATTGTTGCAAGGAGGACTGGGACAATGACTGTGGCAGACAGGGTGGTGGTTCCCATGTTTAAATGGGTGACCGGAGTGTGTTCCAACTACCATGGAATCACACATATCGCCCTCCACGGGATAGCTTACTCCAGGGTGTTGGAAGGGAGGCTCCAACTGACTGTCAAACCTCTGATTCAGGAGGAGCAGTGTGGCTTCCGTTTTGGTCATGGAACAGTGGACTAGATCTTTACCCTTGTCGAGTTGAGAAGGGGGTCATGGGAGTTGATAAGGGGGTCATGGGGTTTACTTTTCCAGTCTGCATGTGTTTTGTGGTTCTGGATAAGGCTTATGACCGTGCTCATTGAGGCATTCGGTGGGGGGTGCTGTGGGAGTATAGGACACCTGGGTTGCTTTTAAGATTTATCCAGTCAGTGTATAACCAAAGCAGGGACTGTGTCCACATCCTTGGCACAAAGTCAAACTCGTTCTCAGTGAAGGTTGGACTCTGCCAGGGCTGTCCCTTATCTCCGATCCTGTTTGTGGTTTTCATGGACAGAATCTCGAGATGCAGTCATGGAGAGGAAGGTATCTGGTTTGGGAACCTCAGGGTCTCATCTATGCTTTATGTGGATGATGTGATTCTTCTAGCTTATTCAGGCCAAGACCTTCAGCATACATTGGGGCAGTTCTCAAACGATTGTGAAGTGGCTGGAATGAGAGTCAACTCCTCCAAGTTTGAGGCCATGGTTCTTGCTCTGAAATGGATGGAATGCCCCCTACGGGTTGGGAGGAGACTTTGCTTTAGGTGGAGGAGTTCAAGTATCTAGGTGTCTTGTTCACAAGTGATGGTAGAACAGAGCGGGAGATGGATCAACAGATTGGGGCCTCATCTTAATGAGGGTGTCGTTTCGGTCAGTTGTGGTGAAGAAAGAGCTGAGTAGAAAGTCAAAGCTCTGGATTTACTGGTCTGATTAAGTTCCGACCCTCACCTATGGTCATGAGGTTTGGATCATGACTGAAAGAACAAGATCCTGGATACAAGCAGCCAAAATGGACTTCCTTCATAAGATGGCCGGGCTCAGCCTTAGAGATAGGGAAAGGAACTTTGTCATCCATAGAGAACTCAGAGTAGAGCTGCTACTCCTCCACATCAAAAGAAGTCAATTGAGGTGGTTTGTGCATCTGATTTGGATGCCTCCTGAACACCTCCCTTTAGAGACTTTCTGGGCACATCCCACTGGTAGGAGGCCCCGGGGAAGACCCAGAAGTCACTGGAGAGATGGTGTATCTTCTCTGGTCTGGGAATGACTCGGTGTCCCCCAGAACAACCTAGAAATGTCGCAGGGTAAAGGGATGTCTGGTTTCTTTCCTGGACCTGTTGCCTCTGCAACCTACCTACGGATAAGTGATAGAAGATGGATAGATGGATTAACTATTTCTCTTTAATGCACATTTTTGCCCATACATAACAAGCATCCCAGCTCTATAATGTAAAAAAGCTATCTTGAAAATATTCATATAATTCGCTGCTAGTTGAGGCAAGTTAGATTTTCTTTCTTTCTGTTAGTTAATGCATTTTCAAAATGCTTTTTACAGGCAACCTGTATGAGGTTCTGGAAGATTACTGCGCTGTTCAGCGTGAAGCAAAAGGTTCACACGTGGATCTGTTTAACTTCATCAAAACCAGCAGATGTCGCAGAACTCTGCTGTGAGGAAGTCTGCAACTGGATTAAATGGTTCATCCGAGGGAAATATCACACGACAGAAGAAAGATGAAGTTACATTACTGTTCTGAAATGATTTGGCACTTTCTGATATTTCTTTTGTAGTTTACAGTTTATCAGTGACCTGGAACAAAAACAGGAAATGTATTGTTTGATATAAGTTTGTGCTTTGAGATGAAGCAAGTGGATAAATAAATAATGAACTAATACCAATGCTGTACAGGCTGAGTTTTGCTACAATTTAGTATAACTTTTTGATTAGTACAAGCTGGTTTATCTTCCAGTCATTCATTATCTTCTCTGTTTGTATGAATTCTGAAAAGTTACTTCTTAAGCTTGGGTATAGATTAAACACTGGTCACTTGAATTAGCTGTAATTAGCAGAGCCTATTTTTTACACAATTTACATGTTCAAAAAGTTAGTCGCAAATTCATCAACGAGTTCAAGTCATAATTATTCAACTAGCTAAAATCTTGAAATGATTGGATATCAGTCATTAATTATTGACTGACTTCAGGTCTAGATGAGATCATTATTATTATTGTCATTATTACCGTATTTTTCAGACTATAAGGCACACTTAAAATCCTTTAATTTTCTCAAAAATTGACAGTGAACCTTATGTATTAATTCTGGTGTGCTTACTGACCTTGAGCCAATTTTATGTGCTACACGGTGCTCAAAAATCTGTCAAAATGAACTTATTTCACTTAATGCGCCTTATAATCTGGTGTGCCGTATGTATGAAAACCGTTCATTGATATTGCACCTTATAGTCCAGAAAATACAGTAGTTAGACCCAATATATTTCTATTTTATAACATCTAGCTCTTTTGGGCAGCACGGTGGTGCAGTTGGTAGAGCTGCCGCGTCAGTGAGAAGGTTGCTGGATCAAATCCCGGCCAGGGGCCCTTCTGGCTGGAGTTTGCATGTTCTCTCTGTGCATGCGTGGGTTTTCTCCGGGTACTCCGGTTTCCTCCCACAGACCAAAAAAATGCATGTTAGACTGAATGGTAACTCTAAATTGTCCCTAGGTGTGAGTGAGAGAGTGAATGGTTGTTTGTCTCGTTTGTCTCTTTGTGTCCCTGTGATGGACTGGGGACCTGTCCAGGGTGTCCCCTGCCTCGCACAGTGATAGCTGGACATGGGCACCAGTGACCCCCGCGACCCAAAAAGGAAGACGTGGGTAAAGATGATGGATGGATGATTTACATGATTGTTGTGTGGAATTAGCATAAATTATGAATTATTTGGAGTTATTGTAAATATATTAATAATAATTTGTGACACAGGTTCAGTTGCTATCAATTAAATGGTTGTTTTGTCGGCTGTGAGGAGTTATCTGTTTTGACCTCCATTTTGGCTTCACATCACAAATGTAAACACTGGGCAGGAAGGGCAGTGTGCACTCTACTGGTTTTATAGAACTGGTTAAAATTGTTCATCTTTGCTCTAATACAGAATGAAGTCATTGAGCTTACTGACAGAAAATATGACTAAAATAATTCTGAACGGTGTTAAAATAGCAGCCTAGGTCTGAATGTATTGCAGTGTTTTACAGAAACATCAGCAGACCTGCTGTCAGACTTCCCTAACAGCCCACTGTGGGATGTGGCTATGTGTGTATTTCTACATAGAGTACACATTACCTACCTCCAGGTGGGAACTGACTCAGAGCTGACCAATTACAAACAGCACATCTGGACAGCAGCGATTATAGTTTACAATTGATCTGCTGCTGCAAAGTATACCATAACTGTAAATGTTTTGTCCTTTAACAAAAGCAAATGGCAGAAAAAATGTGGGAAACATGCTTCTACTTTCAAAAGATGGCTGTTTCTTTTATTTGCTTAGCTCTGACTCTTATGTAATCAATCATTAAAGTTCCTGCTGTGACTTTACTGTGTGGCGTATTTATCATCATGGAAAAGAAAAAGTTTAAGTTCAACTTGAGCCATTTACTGTTAATTTTA